CTCTTTTTCATTTTGTTAGCTTAGTTAAGGCATCATCTATCTGATTTGTCTTTTCAAAGAACCAACTATTTATTTCATTGATCCTTTGTATTGTGTTTTTATTCTCTATTTTATTGATTTTGGCTATGATTTTAAGTATTTCCTTTATCATACTGGTTTTTAGATTGGTTCTTATTTTTGTAGGGTCATAACATACATCATTAGGTTGTTTACAAGAAATCTTTCTGATTTTCTTGCATAGCTACCCACAGATATACACTATACTCTTAAAACTGCTTACAGAGTGTCCCACAGGTTATAGTATGTTGTATCACTATTGTCATTTGTAATTTTTATTTTCACCCCTGATTCTATAATCCATTCATCATCCAGAAGTGTGTTGTTTCTATATAGTATGTTTTTTATAGTTTCTGTACTCTGGTGATTTTCTTTTCTTTTTTTCGTGTTTATTTCTAACTTCCTTCTGTATGATCAGATAAGATGTAAGGAACTATATCTGGTTTTTTTTTTGTATTTGATAAGAGATTCTTTGTAGCCTAAAAAATGATCTATTTTGGAGACAGTTTCATGAGCAGCTGAGAAGAAAGTGAATTATGCTGTTGTTAGGTGAAATATTTTTAAAATGTCTGTTAAGTTCATTTGATTTATAATATTTTTTAGGACTGATGAGTATTTATTGAATTTATGTCTGGATGACCTATCTGTTGGTGAGAGAGGTGTGTTGAAATCATACAGTAGTATTATTGTATAGGAGTCTGTTTGAGTCCTTAGGGTAAGAAGTGTCTGTTTTATATAATTAAGCTCACCCATATTTGGGGCATAAATGTTTACAATTATTATATCTTCTTGGATTTCTCTTTATCAATATGAAGTGATATGATTTTATCCTTATAAAATTAATTAAAACTTGTTTTGTGACCTAATGTATGATATATCTTGGAAAATGTTCCATATGGACTTGAGAAGAATGTATATTTTAATGCTGTTGAATGGGATGGCTAATGTTTTGTTGAAGTCCACTGGTTTCTTATTGATTTTCTGTCTGGTTTATCTATCCATTGTTTAAAATGGAATGTTAAAGTCCCCTACTTATTTTTGTAGTCTCTCTTATCTTACACATCTATTAGTATTTGCTTCATATATTTAGGTACTCCAGTGTTGGGTAACATATACACTTAAAATTGTTATGTCCCCCTGATGGATTATTTCACTATTATATAATGACCTTATTTGTTTTTTTTTACCATTCTTTTTTTTTCTTTTTTTTTTTTTTTGTACCAGAGAATGAACCCAGGGCTCTTAACCACTGACCACATCCCAGCTCCTTTTTATATTTTATTTAGAAACAGGGTCTTGCTAAATTGCTTAGGGCCTTGCTAAGTTTCTTAGGCTGGCTTTGAACTCATGATCCTCCTGCTTCAGCTGCTGGGATTACAGTTATGCCCCACCACACTCAGCTCTCTTACCATTCTTTATTTAAAGATTATTTTGTGTGATAAAAGTGTAATTATCCTGCTCTCTTTTTGTTACTTTGCCTTGAATTTCTTGCTCTATCCCTTCATTCTCAGTATGAGTGTCCTTAAGACTAAAGTGAGTCTCTTGTAGGCAACATATTGTTAGGCCTTGTTTTTTAATCCATTCACCTAACATGTGTCTTTTTTTTAATATTTATTTTTTAGGTGTAGATGGACACAACACAACGCCTTTATTTTTATGTGGTGCTGAGGATAGAATCCCGGTCCCGCCCATCCTAGGGGGGAGTGCTCCACCTCTGAGCCACAATCCCAGCCCTAACATGTTTATTTTGATTGGAGAATTTAATCCATTTACAGTAAGACAATTATTAATAGGTAACAACTTAGTACTGGCAATTTGTTAATTTTATTGACTTTTTCATAGTTCTTTTGTTCCTTACTTCCAATCTTGCTTTTTCTTTGTGATGTTGTATTTTTGTAGTAGTATGTTCTGATTTCTTTCTTTTTATCTTTTATGCATCTATGTTTTTTCTTTGTGGTTTCCATGAGACTTATGTGATATATTTTATAACACCTTAATTTAAGCTGAGAGTATCTTAGTTTTAATGGCATACAGAGATTCTACAATTAAACTTCTCTCCTTGCATACATTTTGTGCAAACAATAGTATACTTTGCATCTATTTATACTGTATAATTGCTGACAACTATGTTTTTACTATATTTCTGAATTTGGATATATATTTACCTTTATCAGTGAGTTCTATGCTTTCACATATTTTCATATTGTTCACTTATCATCTTTTCATTCCAACTCAAAGAACTCCATTGAATATTTTATGTAAATAAAATGTTGTTTATAATCTTTCTTCCTTCTTTCTTCCTTCTTCTTTTCCTGTGCTGAGGATCAAAACCATGAAATTGCACTGCACTTGCAAGGCAAGTCTATCACAAAGCTCTATCACAAGGCTCTATCACAAAGCTGCATCCTCAATGCATTTCTTTCATTTTTTAAAAGAAAGTTTGGCCAGGCATAGAAGCACATGCCTATAATCCCAGCAACTCAGGAGGCTGAGGCAGGAGGATTACAACTTTGAGGCCAACCTCAATAATTTAGCAAGGTCCTAAACAATTTAGTAAGACCTTTTCTCAAAAATAAAAAGGTAGAGGGATGTGGCTCAGTGGTTACACACTCCTTGAGTTCAATTTCTGGTACCAAAAATAAATAAATAACTAAATACTTTGACAGGTGTATTAGCCATTTTCTGTTACTATGCAAATAGCTGAAAAATCATTGATTTACAAAGGGAAAAGACTTATTTGGGTTCATAGTTTCAAAGATTTCAGTCCATGATCAATTGGTCCCATTGTTTTGGGCCTGAGGAAGCCCCTCATGATGGAAGCATGTGGCAAAGCAAAATCTGTTCCTTCAAGGCTGGGTCCCAATGTCCCCTTCAAGGGAAATCTCTAATGACTTCTCTCTAATCTTTACCTCTTAGAGCTTCCACCACCTTCCAAAAGAGAGGAATCAGCAGTAGTTAATAGAAATAGCATGTGACCTTCAAAGCCTGAAATATGTTTTATTCAGCTTTTTTCAGAAAAAAAAAAAACATCCCTTGTTTTGACCTGGTAGCCTAATTATCAATATGGTTTAATTTAGAGATCTCATTTTACTATTTATTTGTTTCCTCTACTTTTATTTCTTTATCCCCTTTTTATTGTCTCCTATTGGATTATGTAATTTTACTCTTACACTTAATATGTTAGATTTTTAGCCATACCTTTTCTCATGTTTTTAGTGATTGCTCTAGGGATCACATTATATATTCCTAACCTTTCATAGTACACTTAGAGATAATATTGTCCCACTTCACATCAAATGGGAAAACCTTATAACCACAGAGGTCCTTTTGTTTCCACCATCCTTTGTCTTATGTGTCACTTTCTACACACATGAAAATACCCACAAGACATTGATAGCATTTTTCTTTAAATAATCATATGCATTTTAAAGAACTTAAGAGGAAAACTATAGTTTTTTACATTTACCTAGATAATTTGTGTCTCTAATCCTCTTCTTTTTTTGGTGAATTTCCAACTTTCTCTCTGAAATTATTTTCCTCCAGCCTGAAAATATTTTCTTTTAGTATATCTGCTATGACAGACTTCTGGCAATAAGCACTCATGATTTTCCTTCATCCAAAAGTTTATTTTCATAAACTTTCATTCTTGTAGGACAGTTTTACTAGATATAGAATTTATCCCCCACCTCCAACTCCTTAAAAATGTGCCTTCGCTCTCTTCTAGCCTTTGTCATTTCTGAGAAGTTCATAGTCATCCAGATTGTTGTTCCCCTGTATGAAATGTCTTGTTCTTTTTATGATCTTTTTAATCTTTTGTTTCCAGAGGTTTGATTATGGAATTTATTGGAATTTACATTTTGGGGGATAATTGAGCTTCTTAAATTTACACATGTATGTCTTTCACCAAATTTTGTAAGTTTTCTGCCATAATTTCTTCATTATATTTCCTTGCCCCTCTTTCTCACTTTCTCTCTTCCCTTTTGACAACTCACATTACCCTTATGTTAAACTTTTCAATATTGTCCCACCAATTTCTGAAGCTCATGTTTTTATCCAGCTGTTTTTCTCTCTCTTCTTCAGATCAAATTGCTTGGCTGTATTTGTAAATTCACTGACTCTTCTGTCATCTATATGCTGCAATTAAGCTCATCCAATGATTTTTTTTAATTATTTGCAGTGACAAAATTTCTATTTGTTTTCCCCTACATTTTCTATTTCTCATCTGATATTTTCTGCATTTTATTCATTTTCAGTGTACGCTCCTTTTTTCACAAACAAAGTTATCATGACTACTTTAAAGGTACCATAGTGGTGTCTGGTAATCTCAATAATGGCATCATCCTGGAATTGGCATCTGCTGATTGTCTTTTCCATTTGGTTTGCATTTTCTAGGTTTTCTATAAGATAAATTGTGTAGACAATCTTGGAAATTGTGAACATTATAGTGCATAGATTGAGTTCTGTTATATTCCGCTGATGACTGTTAATAATTTTGTTTTAGCTGGTTGTTCACATGGTTTGGATTTAAACTGTAAGCTGTGTCTTGCTTTCTATAGTTAAAAGGTCATAGATCAGTTTTCAAGCTTTTGCTGCACTACTTTGAATGTGTTCTATCAGTGCCTGTTTTTTAACTAACCTCTATAATTTACATTGGTGTCCTCTCTTTGTATTGTACATTCTATATGTTTTAACAAATGTATGTGACATGTATTTATAGAATCATTCAAAATATGGTCACTGTCCTAATAAGCCTCTTAATATTTTGCAATAGAGATATTGCATAGAGATTAAAATGTATATTCTTGATTTATTAACTTCTAAATTATGTGTGCACAAAGACTTCTTCTATATTTTAAATCTCAACATATATAAACCCCAAGATATGGTTATTCCAAGTTAACTAAAATTGTAAATGGAAAAAAAATCTTTTTCATTCTTCTTAGGTACAGGAAATGCTGAGAAAGAGAGACAAAAGGTGAACCCTACAAAGAATGAATCTCTCTTCAGTACTGTTTAAGGTCATCAGTGTTAATACTATGCTCTGTTTAGCCACTCTGAAAAAATGGTTTTTCAATAGGCATCGATGGTGACTTTGCTTAAACATGTTCTTAATTTTTAAGTAAAAATATGTAGGTTAACTTTGTAAAATTAGTATAACAGTTATAGATAACTCTGGGTAATCATTCAAAAATTACACATTATAATTATCCATACTTATCCTCCCAAAGCTACTTACCTGAATAATAGCAAGTTCACGAATAAAATACTATTACAATTCATATGTCCTTTTTATAAGGCATATCATGTCTCCAAACTGTTTACAAATTTTCAATCAGAAAATGTGTAGAAAATAAGTGATAATGGTACTTTTTGTTCTTTTAATAGAAGTTTTTATTGAAATAGCTCATATTTCTTAAGGACTACAACATATTTTTACTCTTTTCCTTTTTTATCACTGTCTATTATATTCTACCATTAAATGAATGGGATTTAATCTTCTCCTAGGGGTATCTCACTTCTGATTTTTAACCCACAGCAGAATTCAAACATGTTATACTACTCTGTACACACCTGTGGGTGAGGCAGACTGTCACTTCCTCATTACCTTTATCCCCTGAAGAGTATCTATATCATGTGGAATGTGTAACCAGTCCAACTGGTATTTAACAGCAAAAAGCTTTAACTTGGTCTGCCTGGTATGAGAGTTATCTGCCCAAAAATCATAGCTGAGATGATCATCTGAGACTACTTTTGTGAGCTGAACCTTTCTTTTAATTTCTATTTGAACATTGAACCAGACTTGATTCTTTATATTGCTTACTTGGTGACTTAGTGTGATTATATGGTTGCATTACAGTGAATTAAGCTTCTGTTTGAACAGTCATACGCAAACACTATTTATTTTAAACATCTGACCTTCGTTTCTCATTAATTATACCAAATAAAAACTTCTGATAACTTTAATGTTTATTTGTCTTTTACTTTCAGTTGTCCACAAAATGTGCATGTGCTTATACTCAATAAATGCTTCTCCACACAGACAGATAAGGTACTTGTCTATGGATTGTGGGCCTACAAAACTGGGTGAAAGCTAATAAATTTGCAGCAAATCTATGGGAGAAGTTTGAGTGACATAACTAAGGTCATAAATAATCAGTTGCTTAAACAAAATAGCTCGAAGATTGAGGGGCCAATATATTTATTAGTAATATGAAATGTGGGTGTTATTAATATCTGAAATTAAGCATTTAACTTAGTTTACTGTGTTCAACCCTACTATCAGATATTCTAACAAGTTTCTTAAAGCAAAACATCAAAGGTCCAACCATACCAGCCACTTCACACCTTCCCATTGACCCTCTTTTATGCCTTTCAGAACTATCATTTTTTTTTTTACCTTTCTCAGAGGAAATGGGCTTGCTGTGATCCACTGATTCCATCTGAACATATTTAGCTGAGAAGAGAAGAAAGAAAATGGAGCCAAACCTTCACACACAGTGACTTAGGCTCTCTACTCAAAGCATTGCCTAGTATAGAGAAGATCAGCTAAAAGTATACAGTGTTCCGTTCTCAGTTCCTAAGCAGCAGGAAGTAGTTCTAGGCCAGGAGTAAATACTAATAGGTGAGAATCTGAGTGGAACTAGCTATCAAACAGAAGAGAGAGGATTCTCAGAACAGGGCTTTTTAGAGTAAGAAGGACAGAGGACATAGACAACCACAAGAAAAAGAATGGGGAATAAAATTCCAATGTCCGAGTAGCCAGAGATTGAAAGACATGACCTCTTCTGAAGGAATCTTTCAAGGATGCTGTGACAGAATTATTCACGAAGATAGGAGATGTTAGTGTCTCCAGTGTTGTCAAGTAGGATAACATATGTAAAAGCCCTTAGAACAGTGATTGCATTGTAAGTCCTATTTATTAGTGTTATTACCAACAGGAGTAATATTCGTTGTACCTGAGCAATCCTGAAAACCTCCTTTGCTCCATTCCCCAGTCACCCTCATTTCCTTGCAGTAATAGAATGTGAAGTTACTATTTTCCCAAAGCCTAGTCCCTCACCTCTTCCATTTAAAGAATAAATATGATATCACTCATGTAGGAAACAGCTTTTTGTCCATGTGACCAAGATACTTAACAAGACAACTTAGAGGAGGAAAGTTTATTTGAGCTGCTAGTTTCAGAGGATTCAAGGCACAAACATCCTGGCAGAAGAGCATGGCAGAGGAAAGCTTTTCAGTTCATGGTAGCTAGGAAGCAGAGAGGAAGAAGCCAAGGACAAGATATACCCTTCCAGTACATCCTCCCAATGACCCACTTCTTCTAAATAGGTCCCACCTCCCAGTAGTCCATTTAACTATCACTGGATTAATCAAATGGGTTAATCCACTGATGAGGTCAGAGCCTTCATAATCCAATCATTGCCTAAAAAGCTCTACCTCTGAACCTGTTGCATTAGGGACCATACTTTCAACACATAAGCTTTGGGGGGGGGACATTTCAGATCCAAAATATACCAGGTGGTCTGTAGGGAAATATAAATCAAAACCACAATGAGATTTTACTACAATGACTAGAATCAAAAAGACCTTCAATGGTAAGTATTGGAGAGAGTGTGGAAAAATTCAAATCTTCATATGCTGCTGGTGGGAATGGATAGTGATGCAGCTACTTTGGAAAATAATTTTTAAGTTCCTCAAAATGCTAAACATTGTGTTATCATATGATCCAGAAAGTCCACAACTAAGGTTGTGGAAAACTGAAAACATATTTCCTCATGAAAATTTGTATACCAGTGTACCTACCACTGCATTCATAAAAAGTGGAAACAACCCAAATATTCATTAACTGAGAAAAGAATTTAGAAATCTACTATATCTGCACAATGGAACATTAGTCATCCTTAAAATGATCCTTCAAAGAGAGGGAAAACCTGTCACATTCTATAACATAGGTGAATATTATGCTAAAGAAAATAAGCCAATGACGAAAAGATAAATATAATATGATTCCATGTACTTTAGGTATCTGAAGTAATCCAATTCATAAAAACAGAAAGTAGAATGCTGGTTTTGAGGGACTTAGGGAGAGGGGAAATTCATTCATGAATATGAACTTTGGGGTTTTGCAAGATGGAAAAATTGTGGAGATCTGTTGCACAGCAACATGAAATAACACTACTAAATTATACACTTTAAATGTTATGAGGGCTTTTAAGATGGCAGAATAGAGAAGGTCACTTTCTTGGATGCTCCAAGGCATGAAACCAAGAAAGCAGGTAGGCAGCTTTTCAACAAGGTGAGTGAACAAAACAAAACAGAAAAACAGGGGTGTACTTTACTGGAATTTAATACTGGATATTCAAAGGAGATGAGTGACTCAGGAGGTTGGATGTGATAAAATAAGGAAGAAATCACCAGCCACAGCTGGAGGCACCAGAGTGGTCCTTCCATGAGCAAAGTAGAGGGATAAGGGAATTACAGGAACCCGCATTTATAGGAGGCCTTAGGCATATCTGTGTATGGAGCATTTAGAGATCAAAGACAATGCCCACTAAACTGCGAGACAACACTGCATGATGTCCTTGTGTGGGTAAGAAGTGGCATCTCTCCTGGCTGCCTGTGGAGGACAGAGGAAGGAATCATTCTGTAGCCACAGCCCGGGGCCCAGAAGCTGGAGAAGCTGATTTCTGGCAAACCTAAGTTTGGCCAGAAATACAGGCCTGGCAAACCCACACTGCATGACACAGAGTGTGCCTAGGTGACCAGAATAAAATCAAACATGGACAGAGGTTTACACAGGGGCATATTGGCAGTGGAAACCACCTGGCTCTCCCTGTCCCCCTCCAATTCGGCAGCTTGCAGGACCTGCTGGGAGAGAAGCACCTGACCATAAATTCCAATGGGTATGGGAAGGAGAGATTCAGTTTGGAGACTGAATATGAGACCAGGAAATGTGGGGTCCCCAGGTGATACAGTGAACTAAGAATTGGCTGCTCCACCACACAAGTGGAACCAAGGGGAGATCCTGGGGTGCAGTCTTCCAATGTGGACCAGCAACTGCTGGGTCCTTGAGATGAGCTGATCCAAAATCTCCAGAACAACTGGCATTCCCTGAAGAGCCTGGAGCCTGCCTAAGCCTAAACCCCACCTCCAGGAGTTCCGCCTATGGGATTACCGCTCACCCCAGCAACCACACCCTGAGGGTGGAGCAAGCATCACACTCCAGAAGAGCCACCTAACTCTGCTGAGAAGGAAAGCTGAGAATCATTTGAATGTCAACAGAAAAAAAAAAATTCTTTAGCTCTTCATTCAGATGATTTTTTCCCCCTTCTTTTCTCTGTTAAATTGTGACCTTAATGTTCATGGACATTTAGACATATTTTTTTCTCATTTCTAGCATTTTTAAAGCCAGTTTTTATGGATCAATTTGTTAAGGACCAGGATATTTAATTAGTATATTTCAGTTTTGTATTGTATTCTTTTATTTTTTTTTAATTTTTTACTTTACATATATATTTTCTCACACTTACCTGTTTCCCTTGATTCTCTTTCTTCTGCTAAGAGGCAATTTCTACTCTTCTCTCTTTCATGCTTCCTTTAATTGTTTACTTCTATCTTCTGTTCTCCTCCTTCATAATCATCATCTCCTACATGACTTCTTTTCTTACTATGTCCACCATTCAAAATTGTAAGCCCTTTTGCAAACTTAGTGTTTTAATTGTAGGCAAGAACTGATAATATCATTTCTGTTTATTGTGACAACTATCATTGTAGACATCATAGCAGGAACCATTTGGCTTAATGATTTGGCTTAATGCTGGATATTGTTTACATTGGTGGTTGTAATTATTTGTCTCCCCCTAAACAGTGAGGTACTGGAAACCTTCAGGGATGCTATAAGTCCACAGGATAGAAACTCAACTGTCTCAAATCCACACTGTTAAATGGGTAGACATACAAACAACATGAAAAAGCAAGGGAACAAATCACCCCAAACAAATGAAGATACTCAATAACAGAATCCATTGACAACACAGTGGAAGAAATGTCAGAGGAGTTTAGAATATACATGTATTGATCTGCAAAGTAAATGATGATGTAAGGAGTGAAATCAGACAGAAACTGCAGGAAGTGAATGATCACTTCAATAAAGAGAGATTCTGAGAAAAATCAAGCAGAAATCCTTGCAATGATGGAATCAATAAGCCAAACTAAAAATTCAATGGAAAGCATCACCAACAGACTAGATCACTTGGAAGACAGTTTTAGGCAACAAAGACAAAATATATAATCTTGAAAATAAAGTTGACTATGGAGAAAAGATGTTAGGATATAAAATAAATCAATTGCATTCCTATGCATCATAAGTCAACTGAGAAATTAGGAAAACTATCCCATTCACAATAGCCCCAAAGAAAATAAAATATCTGGGAATCAATCTAACAAAAGAGATGAAAGACCTCTACAATGAAAAATATAGAACACTAAAGAAAGCAACTGAAAACCTTAGAAGAAGGAAAAATTTTCCATGTTCTTGGATAGCCAAAACAATACTGTCAAAATGACCATACTACCAAATCTGCCATGCAGATTTAATGCAAGTCCTACTAAAATTCCAGTTATGTTCTTTATAAAAGCAGAAAAGAGGCCCAAAACTAGACAAAGCCTAAAACTAGAAAAGAGGCCCCAAACTAGACAAAGCCACATTTGAAAAGCAGTATGGAGATTCCTCAGAAAACTGGGAATGGAACCACCATTTGACCCAGCTATCCCACTTCTTGGCATATACCCAAAGTACTCAAAATCAGCATACTATAGTGACACAGCCACATCATGTTTATAGAAATTTGATTCACAATATCTAAGCTAAAGAACCAATCTAGGTGCCCTTCGATAGATAAATGGGTAAAGAAAATGTGGAATAAATACACAATGGAATATTACTCAGGATAAACAAGAATGAAATTATGGCATTTGCCAGTAAATGGATGGAACTGGAGACTATCATGCTAAGTGAAATAAGATAATCCCCCCAAAAAACAAAGAATGAGTGATCTCTTTGAAATGTGGATGCGAACATACAATATGGGATTTGAGAATAGAAGTTCATTGGATTAGACAAAGGGAAACAAAGGGAATGGAGAGGTTAGTGGGAATAGGAAAGACAGCAGAATGAATAGGACATAACTTTCCTATGTTCGTGCATGAATACACGACCAGTGTAACTCCACAACATGTACAATCACAAGAATGGGAAGTTGTACTCCATGTATGTACAATATGTCAAAATACACTCTATTGTCACATATATCTAAAAACATCAAATAAAACTTTCAAAAGTTATGGTAATAGGGTTGGGTAGAGCACTTGCCTAGCATGCGTGAAGCACTGGGTTCAATCCCCGGCACCGCATAAAAAAAAACAAAAAAAAAAAAAAAAAGGAATGGGGTCAACCAACAACAAAAAAAATTTAAAAAAAAGTAACAAAGTAAATTTTATGTGCTTTTTACTACAATCAAAAATGTTTTTTTAACTTTATAAAGTTTTTATTTGTTCTAATTAGTCACACATGAAAGTAGAATGCATTTATGTACTTTAACATATCATACACAAATGGGGTATAATTTCTCATTTTTCTGATTGTACATGTTGTAGATTCATATTGGTCATGCAGTCATTTATATACATAAGGTAACAATGTCTGTTTCATTCTACTATCCTTCCTATCCCCATATCCCCTACCCTCCCTTTACTGCCTTCTACCTAATCTAAAGTAACTCTATTCTTCCCTAGTGCCCCACTCCTTATTGTGAATCAGCATCCACATATAAGAGAAAGCCTTTGGTTTTGGGGGGATTGGCCTATTTCATTAAGCATGATATTCTCCAATTCCATCCATTTACCAGCAAATGTCACAATTTCATTCTTCTTTAAAGTTCAGTAATATTCCATTGAATATATATACCACAGTTTCTTTATTCATTCATGTATTGAAGGGCACCTAGGTTGGTTCCATAGTTTAGCTATTGTGAATTGAGCAGCTATAATCAATGATGTGGCTGTGTCACTGTAGTATGCAACTTTTAAGTCCTTTGGGTATAAACCAAGGAGTGGAATTGGTGGGTCAAATAGTGGTTCCATTTTTTCTGAGGAATCTCCATACTGCTTTCCATAATGATTGCACCAATTTGAGTCCCACCAGCAATGTATGAGCATTCCCCCACATCCTCGCCAACATTTATTGTTGCCTATATTCTTGATGATTGCCATTCTGGCTGGAGTGAGATGAAATCTTAAGTGGTTTTGACTGGCATTTCTCTAATTGCTGGAGATGTTGAACATTTTTTCATATATTTGTTGATCGACTATATTTCTTCTTCTGTGAAGTGTCTGTTCAATTCCTTAGTTCATTTATTGATTGGGTCATTTGCTTTATTGGTGTTAAATGTTTTTATGAGGCTATAGATGTCGCTGCATGGTAAAAAGTTAGTCTAGCAAATGCAAGGCCCTGGGTTCAATGCACAGTTCTGAAAAAAACAAATCATGGTAGAGTGATATATCCATACAATGGAACACTACTGAGGATTGATTGTAGCAAAAAGCACATAAAAAGAATGAAGTACAGATACATGACTGTAACATGGACAAGCTCTCTAAAAGAAGCCAGTCACAAAAAGCCACATATTGTATGATTTCACTCATATTAAATGTCCAGGATAGGAACATCCATATAAACAGAAATAGATTAAAGGTTGTCAGGGTTACAATGAGAAATCGGGGATGACTGCTAATGGGCATGACATTTCTTTGGAGGATGATGAAAATATTCTGGAATGAAGTAGTGACAATGGATGCACAACTCTAAATGTTCTGAAAACTACTGAATTATACATTTCCAAAAGATGAATTTTGTGGTATGTGAATTATATATCAATAAAGCTATTATATGAAAAACATGTATGGAGCTTAATATTTTTAAGATTCACCTTATGACAGAAAAGAGGAAGGAAAATCACTGTGAAATCCAAAAATAAGAATATCTGAACCTTCCAGGAGAATTATCTTCCTATTCCCCTCATTCTTTACAAATTCCCATGTTTCCGTGTTCAATTTTTTTTAAAGTTAACCATCTACTATTTCTTGACTAGTAACCCATGATCACTCCTCTAATTCCCATTGCTCTTATTAAACTAACCTCTGTATTAACTCTTTCCAACCTATTTTTGTGAGTCTTTAAGATATAAGCATAAAAGTATAATTATGTCTTTTGCTGGTTTTGTGCACTATGGTTCCAGGTGACTGCACATATCTATGCTTGAATTTTCATTTCAGTTATTTAACTGAAGGAGGAGTTGGGAGGCTGGGGCTGTAGCTCAGTAGTAGAACACTTGCCTAGCACACACAAAGCCTTGTGTTCAATCCCTATGATTACAGAAAAGGTGTGTATGGGGGGAGGGGGGTATTTAATTAAGAATATTGTAAAGACTTCTAAAGGTAGTACTCACAAAGAATTGTGCTTTGATAAATGGCAAACAATATTAGTGGACCAATGCCTTATTAGGCTCTCAAAAGATTTTTTTTTCTTCTTGCAATGTTGACATCACTTGTGACAATCTAATACCAGGTGGAAATTGGCAATGTGGCCTATTATTAGGAACAGCTAGGATTCCAATAGGCAAAGTGACATTGTCTGCCTAACTCTGTTTTAAATTTTTTTAAGAAAAAACTCTTCAAATTCCATCAAAATTACAGTAAAAGTTTATGAAAAGAAGTGAATCTATAAACTCAAAGCAAGAGAGAGACCAGAGAATTTGATGGTTTCTGGAACAGTACTGATAGATACATCAGGGCACAATCTACTGATTGTGCTGAGAACCCTCAAAGACAGCTAAGTCGAGGGAGAAAATGTTTCTTCCAGGTAGAGCCTCAGAGAGCTCCAGACTCTGTGTAAGCAGATACATAAAAAGAGCTGAGCTGGAAATAAAGGTCTTCTCTTTTCTAGTGACCTTTACATCTATTTAGTCACTGTGGTAGATGACGAGCCACACCTAGTCATCACCAAAACTACCCCACCTACAAACCACTCATGTAGACAAATTGCACTTCCAGAAGTGATGTTGAACCTGGAGAATTTTATAGGGAAGATTTGTGTCTTAAAAAAAAAAAAAATTGGTACAGGATATGCACGAGGGGTGCACTATATCCCCAGCCCTTTTCATTTTTTATTTTTAGACAAGGTTTTGCTAAGTTGCTTAGGGTCTCCCTAAATTGCTGAGGCTGGATTTGAACTCTCTATCCTCTTGCCTCAGCCTCCCGAGTCACTAGGATTCCAAGCATGCACCACCATGCCCAGCAGAATTCTGTGAGGAAAAAAAAATAGTGACAATTATCCAACCACACACTGGTCAGATAACTTGTGGGAAACCCATGCGATAAAATTCTGTCCATCTAATTAATGTTGCTATTATTATTATTTGGATGGTATAATTGGATCTACCCCACATTGTGTAACAATATACATATACATAGATATCATATGTCTACATAAAAAGAGAGTCAAATAAATAGACAGGCAGATTGAAAGGAACAAAATAAGAGAAAAATTAGGAGAATAAGAAATCTTGAGTTGTAAATCCCTTTCTAGCACAATGCCAAAGGCAGAAATCATTAAGGAAGGCATATAATTAACTTGGGAAAAAAGTATAGGAAAAATCAAAAAGGAAATGATTAGCTAAGAGTGACAGTTACAAAATACAAGTTATATCAGTGTATTACCAAGTATGTAACAAGTTCCTACAAATCAGTTTTTTAACACTATACACACACTCCCAATTAAAGAGGGCCAGAAATAAGAATGGGAAACTTATGGAAGAAAACATGTAAATAACCAAAGAAATAGAAATTTTTATTTAATTAGATACAAATTAAATGACTTTTGTAGGCAAAGTTTTGTTTTTTGTTTTAAGATAGTATATCAATCTTACCTGTAATACTAGTTGCTCAGGAGGCTGAGGCAGGAGGATCACAAATTCAAGGCCAGTCTCAGCAACTTAGCAAGACCCTAAGCAACATAGTGAGACCGTGTCTCAAAATTTAAAAAATAAAATAAAATAAAATAAAAACAAAACGTGGCCAAAGCTCCCCTGGTTTTAATCCCTAGGACTAAAAAAAAAAGTACATAAAAGTGCAGAGAACTTTCTTACATTCTTACACTGTTGTGGGGGAGTAAAACTAAAATGAACATGTCCTATAGTAAGAAATTATAATTCTAGAAATTTGTACTAAGGAAATAATGAATGTGTTTTCAAATTTTTATACAAGTATATTTTCTACACCATTATTCAACATTAAAAATTTTCAAATAACCCAAATTTTACCAGAGGGATTCAGTCAAATAACAACACTTCCATTAAAATCATGTTGCAAATAATCACATGGGAGCATGTCAGTACCAAACTGTCAAGTGAAAATAACTGGTTTTGGAGACTGTAAATATGGTTCCAGTTATGTAAGAGAAGTGCAAAAAAAGAAAGATAGGAACTGCCATGAGAGTAAGATTTTGTTCATTTTATTCACTTTATTCATGTAGAATTCATGACACAGTAGTCCCTGGATCAGTTTCTGAATGGATGATCCTTCACAAAAAAAAAAAAAAATGTCCATCACTGGACAAGGAAATAAAGGTGATTATTGTCTATAATAATTTGTTTTGTTATCAGAATAAACATTATTTTTAAAGTAAAAAAGGATTGAGGCGGTATTTCAGAAATGGAGCGATCGTCACATGCCTGGCTCTTTGATCACACACTTTGGGCTCTTCTCAGGGAGTACTTAATGCCGTGATCCTTTCCAACCCCCAGGACTGAGTAGAACTCATTTCACCACAAACTTCCCGAATTTCTTCATTCAAAACTCTTCTACTTTGGGTGATTCCTCACAGGAAAGGAAGAAAAGACAACAAATAAATAAGAGCAGATTTTGATTCCTTTGGAGAAGGAAATAAAACATTTTTTTGTGACAAAAAGCAACTGGAGTGGAGAGGAGAGTACTTGAGACGCTTAAAGGTACTTTGGGGCAACCAGGAAAGGCTTCTCCGACAGGGGGCGTGAGAGAGGTGCTGCTCCTGAGGGGTCAGGAGAGTCAGCCCGGGCAGCAGCTGGCAGGAAGGGGCTTCCACTGCAAACAACAGCAATTGCCAAAGCTATGCAGTTGGAGCACACGACGGGTGAACATAGCGCTTAATGAAGATGGAGTCCGTACTCAAGCAACTTATAAGCCATGGCAAGGCTCCTGGACCGTATGCTGAGTACAGAGGAAGCCACTGAACTGTTAAGGAAAGAAACAAAGCCTGACTTTCGTTCTGAAAAATCCTCAATGTTTTTGATGAAAAGAGTGGATTTAAACTATCACAAAATCTTCCACACTCAATATCTAATAAACAAAAGCTTTAAAATATATATATGCATACATACATACATACATACATACATACATACATATAGTGAGAGAGAGAGAGAGAGAATCAAATTAAGAAAGGCCACAATTTAATTCAGTGTTTTTAAAAAATGGATGGTCAAGGAAAGAAGTTTGTGGGGTCAGGGTCCGATGACACACAGAAGCACCACGGTGTTTATAAGAACTTGTAAACTTACTATTCCCCTTCAGTCTGACAGTGTTGCTTTATCTTTCTAAATGTCTAATGAAGCCCTGTGGAAAAGAGTGAAGAGATGGGGCTGCCTCCTCCTGATCAATGTGCAGAGGGAGGCTCAGAACTGAGAACTGGAAAGGAGACCAGCAGAGAACAGAAAAGGGACTGGGGCTGGGGGCAGGGGGCGAGGGAAAGGAAAGGGGAAATACAGGGGAGCCACACTGACAGAATTGTATTGTCATACTATGGCGTGTACAGATGTGTAACAACAAATCTCACTATTATGCATAATTAAAAGGCACCGACAACACAAAGTATGACCAAAGTGGGGGGTGGGAGGGACTGAGAGCTAGACCCAAGGCCTAGCGCCTTACAACATCAGGCCAAGGAGGTAAAAAGAGCAAGGACTAAGAAGAGAATATGATATTTTGGAAACCAAAAAATGGAAGAAGTGCATGGATGGAGCAGGCAGCTGATCAATCACGGAGTTTTGCTGAATTTGGCAGAAGAGAGGTTATTTGCACTCAAGGAGAAGTTTCAATGAAGTGGTGAGAATGAGGCAAGAATGAATTTGGTTGAAGATGTATGGTGCCCAATAGATGAAAACAAACCAGTTGATCAGTATCTCTAGATACTGAGATCAGTGTTGGTTTTGCTTGGAACCTCTGAGATCCAAAATGTAAGGCATATACAACATCATCAGGTATACCTCTAAAAAGTTTATTTTAAAAGGTTATGAAAGGGGCTGGGGCTGTAGCTCAGTGGTAGAGCACTTGCCTTGCATGTGTGAGGTACTGGGTTTGATCCTCAGCACAAACTAACTAACTAAATAAATAAAAATATTGTACCAACTACAGCTAAAAAAAAATACTTAAAAAACAAACAAAAAAAGGTTATGAAAGAAGATTATACATTTGGGGGAAATTTACAAAGAAAGCAAACCCAGTAGGAGATAAAGTGATTTGGGGAGGCCTTAAGGAATTGGGTAGACATGGGCACATCAAGTGCAATGTTGGTAGGTTTGATTGCTGTTTTTAAAAGAGAAGCTGAGCTCAGGTGAGTAAGCTGGTCTACGCTGCAGGCAGCCTGAGTCCTCTGGCAGAGCTACCTACTCTTCAGCAAATTTTGCAAAAGATGTCTTCTTACCTGTCCTAGGAAAAATATTCTATTTTCCATAATCTAAGTAAGCAGTTAATAGTGGGGGAAAATCACATTAGTGACTTAAAATTTTAATACCATTTTAAGAGTTACAACTGATCATCTCATTACACTCCAACAGGCTATGGGGACAGGTCAGTAATGGTCTTACCTCTAAATAGTTCTGCAACCAAGGGCAGTTGACATCCTCAATTTTCAATCCCATCGTCTATAAAATGGAGTGAACAGTAGTACATTCTTCACAGGGCTGTTGGGAAGAGGAAAGATGACATCCCTGGGACTTTAAGTACTGATAACATGCTAGATAACATTATGGTTTGGAGTCTTCCTGAAGGTGGTGACTAGGAAGAACCAAAGGCATTAACTAACCCACATTCCTCATTCAGAGAGCTTCCAGAAAGGAAGGACCTTCCAGACATTCGGCCACCCAGTGTGCACTGCCGAGGCCTCCCTCCCCCATAAGAAAGGAGACCTGAAGCAAGGGATCTGGTTAGGGAAAACAGTGTTCGTGAAGAGAAACAGGCCAGTGGTTTCTTGCTTCAAAGAAAAGATCGAAAAGTTTGAGGGTGTGTACAGGACCAACATCTCTTAGCCCAGTTAGATACCACATTAGTCGCCAGGTTTGCTAACCTGCCTCAGAACTACAACCCAGAAGGAACATGTTGGAGGCTGGTGGTGATGGTGGTACAGCCAGGCAGATGGGGCAGGCATACCTCTTTAGATCCAGGTTCCTACAGTGTGTAGAAAATGGATTAAGCCTGAGAACAGGGGCATGGGAGTGTAGGTGGGAGACTGGAGGGTACAGAATGGCTACAAACCAAAGGAGGGGGCAGAACCCCGTCTGGTGCCCAGGAGAGCTGGTTGGGTTCAGTGAGAACTCTCATTAACCAGTCCTGAACCCCTCCACAGTGCCGCTAGAAGTGAAGGACCCACAGGAAGGAACAAAAAGCAGCCTCTTATGGTCCTGTCGGAACAAGACGAGGGTGTGTTTACCTCTCAGAGGAGCACATTCAGGGACATGGCAAGGGATTATTAGAGAGAAAAACTGTTCTCCCCTTTCCTGCCAAACCACTGGAGTTTCCAGTTTAAATTGTGGTGACAGAAAATATCCCAAGTCTTTCTAACAGAACTGAGAGTTTTCACAACGATAATTCACTGATGAGTTCTGGAATTCAGGTAAGAAGTGATTGAGGGAGTCACCAGCCAGAGGAAATGGAGGGTGTTGCAGAACAGAGTTAGAAATCAATTACTGAAAAAATAAACCTGTCACACCTCCACATGAAGGCCTTGAAATTTCACATCAGTTGCAGTTATCTGAAGACTAACTTTACTTTCCCAGATAGTCCCTTGTCTCTGGTTACTGGCTTTTATGCTTACCCAATCTATTTTGAAAAGATTTTCAAAACTTTCAATTTTTTCCCTACACAATCCTAGAAATAGAACAGAAAATGCCTCAAGCATGAATGGAAACTTGCTCTTGTTTACTTTCTGCTACTTCATCACAAAGATTCCACAAGAAAGCATGCTCTTAATAACTTATGTTTCTTTTTTTATAATTAAAATTTGTCAAATCACAGAAATATTTTTTTAGGGGATGCTGGGGATTGAACCCAGGGCCTTGTGCATGTGAAGCAAGCACTTTATCAACTGAGCTATATCCCCAGCCTAAATCACAGAAACTACTTTTAAAGTGTTTTTTTTTTAATTTAGCAACTAAAATAGTGCCTGGCACATCATAAGTTTATAATATATTATCATAAATATTTATTATATTTTTATTATATATTTAACAAATATTTGTTAAATAAATAACCAATTATTTATTTAACATTAAATATTTTTCTGTGGCACTTTTTTTTGTGGGGGTACAGGGAATGAACTTAGGGGCACTCAACCACTGAGCCACATCCCCAGCTCTATTTTGTGTTTTATTTAGAGACAGGGTCTCACTGACTTGCTTAGTGCCTCACTGATGCTGAGACTGGCTTTGAACTCATGGTCCTCCTGCCGCCTGGCTATGGCATCATTTTTAATTGTTGCATAGAATTCTATTGTGTGAATTACCATAATTTATCTAAACAGGCCCTGGAGAGCTAAAGGAGAATTGGGCATTGTGATGGACACAGAGATGGTCCTCATCGTCCCCTTCAAGGGGGAACTTGTTGCCTCATGACTAGCATCACTGGTACCCCCAGTTGTCAATACCCATCAGGAATTGTCTCAGCTACAGAAAGCTTCCTTCCCAGGGTGACTCCTATTTGAAGGACAGATCATGGAGAGGCCCAAGGCAGAACTCCAACAGGGCATCTTCTTCCAGAGGTTAAAGGTAGGGGTTGCCTGAAGCTGCCCTACATATATTGTCCCTGGACTTTTCTCTGCCCAGTCCTATTTCTTCCTTCTCCCTTCCAAGGGTGCTAATTTCAGGGCACTCCCTAATAAATATATGGCACAGTAAATTGTCTCAGAGTCTTCTCCTGAAGAACCTAAAGTGTGACAGATGGTTCTGACCCTCAAGGAACTCCCAAGTCTGTTAATTAAAGCATTTCATAATTCTTACATGATAGCCCTTACCTATTACCAACACCAGGTTAAATTAGCACAGTGGTATATTGTGATATGCTATAAGCCCATTAAAAAGTAATATCCTTAGGGCTGGCTCTGACACAGGATAGCTCCAGAAAGAAGGGGGAAAGGGAAGCAGCGAGAAAAGAAGGGAGGAGTTGGACATCATCAGATACTTACTGGAGCCTTTCTCTTTGCTAAATTTCTCTGAATCTGTTTTCAGATACATCTCTTGCTCCTGGTTAGTCTTTGGACCACTCACAGTGTAAGCATAATTTAGGCAATTACTATCTCTATACTACCTATCTCCACTCCCCCCACTGTAGCATTTGAAGAAACTGAAAATGGACACAACCCTGTCCAGGTAAAAAGTCTCAGCCTCATTATGAGAAGTAAGGACTAACAGGTCTTTTAATACCTGAAGACAGAAGTAATGATCAACCACACTAACAAAAACAAATCAAATACAAATAAAAAACCAAGCCTGGTACAGTGACACATGCCTGTAATCCCAGTGACTGGGAAGGCTGAGACAAGAGGATTACAAATCTGAGGCCAGCCTCAGCAATTTAGCAAGACCTTGCCTCAAAGTAAAAAAATAAAAAGGGCTGGGATGCAGCTCAGTGGTGGAATGCCCCTGGGTTTGAACCCCAGTACCAAATACAAAAACAAAACCCTGAGTTTGTATTTGAGGAATAAAGTCCAGATTTAGGAGGAATCCAAGTGATAAGCTAAACCCTGTCAAGGTGTCAAGATGCTTCCCGGGATCCCTCAATCACACATTCCAAGGCAGCAGAAATCTACCAAGTGAGCTTCCTGTCACTCCCTGCCTCTCTGCCAGGCAGGTTCAGGCAGCATCAGGTTCAGCCCATGTGAGATGCCTCCTCCCAATCACAGACCATCCTTCCCCTGGACCGGAGGTTTAAAGAATCGCTGCAGGCTAGCAAAGCACCCTGGGCTGGTGAGGACTGCAGAGCCCAGCAGTGCCGGAAGGAGGTGGCAGCTCTGTGAGTACCCCCTTGCCCTGTGGGAAGCGTCTGCACCCTGCACGGTTGATTAACTTTCCTGGGAACGAAGTTAGCCGTCTACTAGAGAAAGGGGAAGAAGTTACATTCTTGATTAATAGAACCTGCTACTTTTATAATTTAGGATATTGTAATTGTTCTGATCTCTTTTATGTTGAACTGTACAAATTGCTCTCCTGAAACCTTTGATATCTTTGGCCTGTTGTCAGAACTGAGACCAAAGTCCTAGGGATGTTCTTCAGCTCTCCTGATTCCAACTTCAAATTTCCCCAGGAACCCTCGGGCTCCTGGTTAACTCTCTGATGGATCTAGCCTTTGTAGACCTCCTCCTCCACAACTTTCTTGTGGAATCAGAAAAACAAAAGAATATCTAAGGAAACGGTCATGTTCTTTCTTAAAAAATATATCTCCTAGCCTAGGCGAGAGAGAGTTTCCTGATCTTGTTAGAAATCATTTGGTCTTGCCAACTAGTAATGGGATTTGTGGGGCAAATTATTCATGGTGCTTCTCTGAAAACAGTTCTGTTCAATATACATTTTGGTTGACATAATTCAACAGATAAGCTTACCTAAACAATGTTATTTTTGCGTAATTTATTCTTTACACTTCAGCAATTCGTTGATCTTATTTAGGATCCACAGATCCAAAATATATTTTTGTCCTAACATTCTTACACAAAATGCAAGTTTCAAATAATGCTAGTACTATTTTGTTTGTTATAAGTCTCAAATTCTACTTCTAACTAGTTTTAAGATTTTTAAGACATTTAAGAATTTATATTAATTTTAATATATTTTTTAATTGAAGACAATGTTTATTGACCATTTCTTGACTCAGTGAAGTTCAAAAACACAACATAAAATAACTCAAGTTTTATGTATATATGTATTTATGTATATTTGTATTATAAATAAAACTTCGGTTTCGTAGTTTTCAAACTACAAAAGGAAATAGTGAGGAAATAGTTTTTCTTTTGATTAAACTTGATATCAAAAAGTAATAATAATTCTTATTTTGCTTTTTGCTGACAACAGACTATTTTGTTTTCTGCTAAAATAGGCTTAAAAATCAACTAACCAGATTTTTGTTGTTGTTGTTGTTGTTTGTTTGTTTGTTTAAACTACCTGGGAAGGATGCTTAGACTTTTTGAAATAAAGAGGAACTTAGATACCATTTAGTTAAAGAAAAAAAAAAAAACAGCATTTCCTTTTACCTCCCCTGCTTACATTCTTAATCAGACCAAATACCAATCAGCCCTAGAATCTGTAGTACCCTGCTCCGGAATCTGGGCCTGATGGCCACGCAGCCCATGCACAAACCTGATAGGCCACCATTGCTTAACTGGGACAGAGACCACATTGCCCTGATCTCACGGCCCCCTAGGATCTCCACTATATTCCTGCCCTGGACCTGGGCATCCCAATGGCATTGCCCACACCTCTGGGCACTGGAGCCATTGCTTACATCTTAGTTCTTGATTTCTGGTGGGTGGATGACTACAACCATCACAGGGAGCACCAGAAATCCAGAGCACGGATGGCCAGTAGAACTTTCCATGATGATGGAAATGCTGTAGGCAACAGCTACTAACCACATGTGCCTGTGGAGTGCTTGAAATGTAGCCAGAGAACTAAAGAACTGATTTGTTTTCCCCTATTGAGGTGAATTTATTTGACTTTAGTCGCATGTAGCTTCTAGCTACCATATAGGTCAAAGCAAGTTGAGAGAGCTGTAAAGTAAGAAAAATAAAACAAAACAAAACTCACGTATACTGTGAGCTGTGGGTATCACACCATGGAAATAGGCTTCCCTTTTCATCGTTGTCAGGTTTAAGCAGACTTGTAAATTGTTCTGATCTGAAATCTTCACACCCACTTTTGTATACAATTATTTGCCCTTGTCCTAGGTTTCAGGGTTAAGGATAAGACAACAGCATATTGTGATTCTTTTTATTCCTCCCTCTCCTATTTCCCATTTATTTATTTACTCTTTGGTTAATCCAAATTTCTCTAGCATGAGTAGAGTTTGAGGTGTGGTTTGCGTGATCTCTGCTGCAACAAACTTGGGTGAGGAAAAGAGGTAATGAACTTGAAAAAAAATGATCTCATGCTTGGTGGGTGAGTCTCACTTCTTCTTCTTCTTCTTCTGCTTCAAGAATTGGTTTGTTTAGTGAGCAATTGTTTTTAGATCTATTCAATGTGTCTGGAAACCTCAACACCCTGGATGTGAATAATCTGTATAAGAAAACAAACTGAATGAAAGTCTAAGAAAAAAAAAAGAAATACATAGATAGCCTTTTAAAAATCCACCCTTCTCAAAGCAAAGGAACTCCCAGGGTGTTGAGCAATTTCAGTAAATCATCGTGGTGCCAGGTCACTGGGAAGTTTTTCACAGGGTGGGGTTCCCGGGGGCTATTCCTTGGCAGGGAAAACATTTAGGGCGAGTTGCTCACTTCAGTCTGTGGCGTATCATTTCTAAAGTGGACAGTCACTTCTCTGCTTTCTGTCCACCATGGTCACTTCCCATTATTTTAAAAGTCACTAGTCCCTTTCTAGCCTGCCTGGTAAAAAAAAAAAAAAAAAAAAAAAAAAAAAAACCCTAATATACGTGAGGGAAGCGTTGTATTAGAATAACAGGAAAAAGAGGCAGGAGACCACATATCTGAAACAGCCCCAGCATACCATGGACTAACAGGGAAGGCAAGAAGGGAGGGTGCCTCGCATCACCAGGAGTCAGTCTCTGACCACACAGAGACACACCCATGCCTTTAATCTTCAATTTAGGGTCTCGGCTACCTTCTGCGTATCTTCCTTCTCCCTTTGAACATAAATATGAGGGATCTGATAAAATCATTCCCAAAGAGGCGTTGACATTGGTGGGTAATGAGACTCCATGCGTGTCTTCTGAATGTATTTGTATTTTAATCAGCAGCAAAGCAGTGATTCTGTAATTGTGGCATTTCCATATTAGGGTGAAGAGTAAGGAAGATTTTGAGTAGAGGGAAAGGGTAGAAGGCTTTTTCCTTTGACTTAATTTCTAAGATAAAAAGCAAGCTCAAGGGCAGGGGATTGGGACTTTCTCTTAATGTTAAAGAGACATAAATAGAGGTGGAATCTTATTATCTTAAAAGGAAGAAAGTAGCTAGGCACAGTAGTGCAATCCTGGAATCCCAGCAGCTTGGCAGGCTGAGGCAGGAGGATCTCAAGTTCAAAGCCAACCTCAGCAATTTAGTGAGGTCCTAAGCAACATAGTGAGACCCTGTCTCTAAATAAAAAAATAAAAAGGGATGGGAATGTGGCTCACCTGGGTTTAATCCCCAGTAGAGGAAGAAGAAGGAGAAGAAGATAATCTATTATTCAATGAATGGGCACATGACCAATAATGGCCCTGGAATAAAAGACACTTTAATTTTTCCCTAAATTACAAACTTTAGTAAGACAAAATAAACTAAGAATATAGTTATTGACTTTTAGGTGTGGCATTCAACCTATTTACAGGGTTTATATTTTTTGCTTTTTCAATATAATTCTTTATCAAATTGGATTTTTTTAATGTACAAAAATCTGCTCCTTTGTGGGTTCTCCTATTTTGTGCCTCAAACTAGATCTAATATAGACACGTAGTAACAGCGCCCAAAATTTAAGAAAATTTATGAGAGGAAAATTCTTTAAACAAACTTGGGTAAGGAAGAGAGATAACAAAGCACTGGGCTAGCTTGCTGTGGCAAGAGGATAGGGGGGAGAAAAGCCAAACACACATGTCCACAAACAAGACCTAGATTAACTCCCCAGGAAATCTGTTTGCCAAGGACAGAGAGAGTATCTAGGGAAGAATTGGTAACTCTGGACAAGGGTAGTAGAAGAGGTTTTTTCAGTTGGGCTTCAGAGATGGCAAAGAATCCAAGAGGAAGAAAAGGAAGGGATTCCAAAGGGAGGAACAACCAAGTTCACCCTGGAGGCATGCTCAGGACGCAAGGGGAGCAGGGAGGCTACTTGGAACTGGGTGGTGCATCCTGAACACAGCTAAGAAGTTCGTACTTAATCTCCTAGGTTGTCCATCCTCTCTGCCACTGACTAGAAGAATGAAATGGTTGGGTCTGCCCAAATACTGCAGAAACAAGGAAAGGGAGGTCATTGGTTTGTCTCCAGGAGCAGAAAAGAAGTTCTCAAATTTGAATGCACTGGAATAGGACAGGAGCAAGTTTGAATTGGAAGAGATTGGTCAATAACAGAGAATGGGTGGACAAGTGAAGTCAGCTGGTAGTAGGAAGTGAAGGAGCCAGTGGCTGAGCATATAGGTAAAGAGACAGCTATCTACGACGGTCCTTTGAATTTAGGGTACAATGAGCCTTGGAGGTTTTTAAGCAAAGGAGTGAAATAAAGCCAGAGCTGTGTATTAGGACAGTGGATCTCAAGGTTGATTTAGGGACTGGCACGTGAAACTCTTGCTTATCTTTGCGGAACACCACCAAGTGTTGATATACTAAGTTTAAAATAATGAAGCAGATCAGGAGCCTACTTTGTGCCTCTAATATAAACAGGTAGTAACAGCGCCCAAGATTTAAGAAAATTTATGAGAGGAAAATTCTTAAAATCACAAATGTTGCTCAATAATTTTTTTCTAAAATCAGGAAATGATTACAATAATTCAATTTGCCCAAAGAAACATGTTGCCCCAGTCAATGGAACTTCCATGTTCTCTCTAGGATTGTTTGAGGACCTCTGCTTTAGAAAGTTCACTCCAAAAGCATTGCATGGAATAGATAAGGAAGTTGTTGAGTTCATTCGAACCAGAAACTATCAGCTGGCAGTAGAAACTGGAAGGGGTAAAATGGTCTCAGAGACACCAGAGAGTGATAATTTTGGCTTCTATCAAAACCATAATCAATCCAAATCAGGAGAGTGCATTAGACAAGGTTCTTCACAGAAACAGAACCAATAGAAAATACATATATATGTACATATAGGAAGTGTGTGTGTGTGTGTGTGTGTGTGTGTATACACCTAGATATGTCTGGATATGTATATAGATATAGAGAGATATTTCCTATCATCTGTCATCTATCTATCTGTATCTAGAGAAAGAGAATTATCTGAAGGATTGGCTGATGTGATTTTGGGGATCAATGCATCTGAAATCTATACAGCTGGCTGGCAGACTGAAAATTCGGGAAGAGTGGATGCTGCTCTCTATGTCTGAAATCTGCAGATTGACAACTCATGCAGACCTTCTACGTTGCACTCATGAGCCAGAACTGCTGCTTCTTTAGGAAACATCAATGTTTGGTCTTAAGGCTTCCTTTGACCAGAGAAACCCCTGCCCCCCTATTATGGAGGGTAATCTACTTTATTCAAAGTCTACTGACTTAAATGCTAATTGCTTCTCAAAAAAATATCTTCAAAGCAATACCTAGACTGCTCTTTGACCAAAAACCTGGGTACCATATTCAAGCCCAGCTAATGCATAAAATGAACCTTCCCAGGGTATTCCTTACAATATTTCCTGATCAGGCCAGCAAAGACAAAACTCAAGAGGCACAACTTCTCCCAGGCCTAGAGAACAGATTTACATTCTGTGTGTATGGAGAGCAGGGCCCCGTTGTCCTTGCCTTTTGTGCTTTCTTCATATTTGTCCCTCTCTGAAAAGGCAAACAAACTCATAATGTCTTTGTTTTTTTAATATCTATCAATGTGGAAGTTCACTGAAGTTTTTATTTTTTAACCTAAAAATGTTCATTGGTCTGCCCTCATGCACAAGCATTATTGGCCCTAACAGAAATCACGTCACCTTTCCTTTGGTGTACCAGCAACCCTTCCTAGAGAGTCAGTCCTCCATCTTGTGTGTGAGGGAAGCAGTTTTCCAGGAAGATGTCCTCCACTGAATGGGAGTCTCTTGACACAGAGACTACATAATGTCAGCTTCCACACTGTGACCAGGGCCTTCCAGCTTCACTCTTAAGTATCCTGGAAGTCCTTGGATAATTGCTATTTTGTTGTTGTTCTTCTTCTTTTTAGGTACATATGACATAGAGTGTATTTTGACATATTATACATACACAGAGGGTAACTTATTCTGATTAGGATCCCATTCTTGAGGTTGTACATGATGTGGAGTTTCACTGGTGGTGCATTCATGTATGAACATAGGAAAGTTATGTCCAATTCATTCTACTGTCTTTCCTATTCCCATCTCCCCTTCCTTCTCTTCATTCTCCTTCGTCTAATCCAATGAACTTCTATTCTTTCCTCCCCTCCCCCTTTATTGTGTGTTGGGATAGGCTTATTTCACTTAGCACCATCTTCTCTGTCCATTTATCGGCAAATGCCATAATTTCATTCTTCTTCATGGCTGAGTTATATCCCATTGTGTATCTATGCCACATTTTCTTTATCCATTCATCTGTTGAAGGGCACTTAGATTGGTTTTATAGCTTAGCTATTGTGGGTAACTGCTTTTTAAGATCAGTAATTAGTTCTGAGTGCAACTTTCTTTTTTATTGGTTCTAGATCCCCAGTTTCCACTGTGGAACTTGCCATGTGGTTTAAGAATGTATACCTGGTGAGGGGATCCTCTGTGATCCCAGGCTCCCTACTGCACTTTTGTCCCATCCAAGGAGGCACCATTTTGATCTGTTTTTAAATACTAGAGTTCCGTATTGAAATCATATTTCCATATTTCCATTGAAACTATGGCTCTGTGTTTTAAAATATTAAACCACCACATTGGGCACCTTTGCCATTCCTTGGTTTATCAGCTCTTGCCTGTCTGCTTCAAGGAGCTGAGTAAAGAAAATTAATACTGTCTATCATTAATATTATATTTTAATTATAATATAATTAATATTATATTAAAATTCCACATATATTCTCATTTAATTTTCACAGTACCCCCATGAAACCAGGTATTATTATTTCCATGTAGAAATGAAAGTCAAAAAGATCTAGTAACTTCCTGGGGGTCCAGAACTATAAAGTGGGAAAGCGAAGATTCAAAGCCAGGTGTACAAAGCTCACGTTCTTTCTACTTCGCCTCACTCCCGAACTTCTTCTGCAGTCAGCTCTAGGCAAATCACTAAGTTGTATATTCACCCATCCTTCCATTCATTCATGTGAACATTTATTTACTACTTTTTAAATGTTTTAGTTGTAGTTGGACACAATACCTCTATTTTGTTTATTTATTTTTACGTGGCGCTGAGGATCGAACCCGGGGCCCCGCACTCTCAAGGCAAGCGCTCTACCACAGAGCCACAACCCCAGCCCTTACTGACTTTATTTTTCATTTAACTAAACAATTGAGTACCTGTTATGTGTCAGGCACAGTCACACTTCGGACCTAAAAAGGTAAGTGTAACAGAGTTCCAGTGTCTTCTGTTTTGGAGAGTCTTGCAGTCAAGTGTAGGAAGCCCTTCGCAGATGGATACTAAGAAAAAAAA